GGATTGATGTTTCCGTCGTTTCACGACAGAAATTATATCCCCGATCATTGCGAACGACGATGATTAGAAATCTGATATGTACACTTCCATCCACAAGCGTTAAACCGCCTCCAAATATTTACTGCTGTCTGTATGCATATTATAAAACAGCTTCCTGACTGATTTAATCATCGATACCTAGCAAAACCTGTCCTACGAATTTACTTGTAGAGAGGGTCGTAGATGCTCATTAAATTTCGAAATTCGATCTTTAAGGGAGTGAAATGGATTTCTATGAATTGCCTTATTTTTCTTATCTCGCAAGAACAGTTTTACATAACTTGCATAAGAGTGATTCCACAGACATCTTTACAATCTTACCGTCTTCGGGAAGCAAATGTTATTTACAAAGAGGCACTCCAGTAACAAATAAATTCTACACTTTTCTCGTTAAAACACAAGCATGTGCCGTGACAGACAAATAATTCAAATTATCTGTCCTAACTATGAAATTTCACTTATGCGAATCAGAGGCGACTAAAAAGACTTGAGATACTCTCATATGAATAACAAGTGCGTACGGATTTCACAAAACACTCTTGTTATTTATCGATCAACATGCGGTTAACTCGAGTTACGCAAATCCAGTTTATCACAGACCGTGGAATTGCGGCGTGAGAGAAATTGTATTGCTGTTTACAGATAGCATTGCGAGATCCGGTGATACGTACACACGGTTGGCTGTTTATGCAGCCACTTGAGGCTACGATTATAAGTACAATCGATTGTACGGGACTACGGCTTTGCATCGTTCCGACACCTACTATCACGAAAGGGGGGTAAAAAGGAAAAGAGCCACGCTTAACAATCTTGTCACGTACTAATGATACCGCTTTACCCAAAGTACTTTATTAACCCCTTACTGCAACCACATTGCGATTTCAAATGTCGAAATTAAATGGTACCATCAAACATATTTTTCTTATCTTTGTACAGCAGCAGACTTCGTTATCATTTTGTAAACGAGGTCATTTATGTACGTTAATAAAACGACTCGGATTTCTCATCTGCTTCAGTTTTGTGCCATTCGGCGTTCGTTGAACAACGTCATCAAGAAAAATAGAAATTGGAAAACTACAGTGACGTCCATGAGCATGCATGTACATGTAACATTCATAGATCTACAAAAAGCATGTTTCAATTTTTATTAGACAGTCGAAAAAATTTAGAACGTGTGCTCTTTACTTTTTTTAATAAATTCGTTGTATAGCAAATTTTTAATCGTTGCGAAATCTATAGAATAATTTCCACTAATATTTCTTAAGGGAGATCGTTGAACGAACGATAACGGGAATGATCTCCGACGATTTGAGTTGAGCGACGACGTCTTAACGACTTTATTAGTCTCCTTCCCGTGATTATAACCGATTCATCATTAATCGGCCTCGCCCCGGTTCCGCGATCGATCTCATTTCTTCACATTACGTCTATCGCCCACGCTTCGAACACTTTTCAAGCGAGAGTTACTTTCCACGATAACTGCTCCCCGAGCGGTAGTGAAACCGTATCGGCGTCCGGCGAATAATTTCGCGCGTTCCCAGGAGCAGAACACATTTCTTTTGGAATTCCTCGCATAACGTCGGATACCATCGACCATCCCTGTCGATTCGAGCAAATACTTAAATATGTAGGATCACTGGTATAAATTTTACTACATAAAAGCTGAATCAATTTGTTACCGAAAATGACACGATATGCACTGATTCAGTTGAAAAATAAGAAACGATATACTAAAATCCTTTGATTGAATCAATTCGCATGTTGTAACATCCGATTGAATAGTAAATAAGCTTGCTTTCTAATCTACGAACGGAATAACGAGAGCAACGAGAACTTAATGAGACGTTTTCATTAAACTGCTAATTCAAGCAACAATGTATGCAGTCGTTAACCTTAATCATCGTTAAACCGACGACATGGCTAATGCACCGTGCGTTCACGGCCAGCGGGCGAGTGTGTATCCACATTTGCACGCGATCGTAAATCTGCTTGATTCTTGTCCCGCTCTGAATCCCCCTCGCAAACAATAAATGCTTGACTACCCGAATTGTCGTTTGGCCGCTTTGGTGACAAGACTGCGTCTAACGACATATTTATAGAAGGTGATGCTGATTTCTCTACGAGATGCGTCACCAAATGTGCCATGCCAACCACGCTCGAACATCCTCGAACAATGACCAAGTAGAAACGAAGTATAGCCTAGAGGAATCCTTCGAAAATTTACATCGCGTACTTTACTAGCTGGACTTTCCGTAGTTTACAAAAAACCGACTCATAACTCCTGTTCAGTTTGTTTTACTTCTGCCGAGAGGCTACGAGCAAATTCGTACGTCGAACAGAAATAGACGAAATATTGAAAGTTGTAGTTAATTTCTGGGCACGCGAATATCAAAAACTGTTACCGTGTAATAATTCAATTTATACGCGATCAATATATATTCAATTGGAGTAAATTCTGTCGCTGATTCACAGCTGATGGCACGGCGAGCCCCGTCGAAAAGGACAATTCGAGGGCGTTCCGTCGGTGAAAATTCTGTAGCGACGCAACGGTTACAATTTCAGCTGACGCCGGACTTTACAAATCACCGGGAAAAAGTATTGCAACGCTTTTCCCCGGTGCACTCTCCGCCTAGCCGTTGTACGCTTTTCTTTATCCACGACGAAGCTCGAATATTACGTTCAACGTGGGGACCATAGTCTATTCGCGACGCGAGATACGAGAACTTTTATTCGATGAATATTCCAGCGATCAGAGATTATTTAAGACTGTTGAGGGCCGAGCAGTAAAATCTCTGGAGCAAAACAATATACGCATTTTTAGCATAGACAGATGAAACCGAAATGAGAAACTTGAGACCAGACGATTGAAGGAAAGAAAGTGAATGAAAAAGTTTATTTCCTTCTATTCTGAGGGGGGGAGAGAGAGAGAGAGAGGGAGTGAGGGAGAAACTCCCCTATGATTTTTTTTAGTAATCTATGACTATGAGTTTTAATTTCTACTAACAAGAGACAGAATTTAATATAAGAAAATTTTTCCTCTGTTACTCGAGAAATACCTGGTACATTCATGTACCTTTCTCCTGGGACGGCGGTTTTACTCATCAAAGGAGCGCGGTAAAGTGTTTTTGCGGGTACGAGGTAATGGAAGCTGCTTAAGAATTAATTAACGCGTTAACAGGGAATGGATGTGTCGCATGGAAATTAGTTTTTAAGTTAGTCGCAAGTAAGGCGAGTTAACAGGTACCGAGAAATCGTATAGGGTGCGTGCAGGGGCGCGGACGTTTAAATTTACGGTAACAAAACAATTTAATCAGGACAGGGAACAGGAAGTTCGCTGGAACAAAACTTAGCGGTGACACCTGGCTCAGCGAAAGTTTAATTAGGAACGTAAACGTTCAACTTTTCGTTCCTCGCGTGGAGGGAAAGAACGAATGAGTTAAATTTCCCTACTGGTTTCGAATTCTCACTTCGATAACTTTTATCCTCTAGCTATTTCGTGTCCAAGATTAACCCATAGACCGCCAGCATCAATTATCTCAAAGCGTCTTTAAAAACTCACGTGTAATGCAATTATATCAAGGATGTATGCCGTACGAAGTACTCATCGATATTTCATCCGATATTTCAGCTTTCCGATGATCTAAAGTTTGAAAAGCTTTAACAATAGCAAATAAAATAAAGCATAATAAAGTAGAAATCGTTGTGATGAAATTACGCGAACAAAACGGTGCTCGATCGACGATTTTTCTCGAATTTAAACGGGCGCTTGACGGGCACCCTATCGGAAACGATGCGTCGAATCGATAGTTGGATGCGTATGTAACACTCGCGTATATGGGAGTAAACCGCGCTGCGTGTTCAAATATACAAAACCAACGACGCGGAAATTAGGAAAGGACAAATTAACGGCAAACCGAAACGTGTCAATCAGTTTTCGAAACGACTGTACAAATGCTAACAAATCGATGAAATTAACGTAAACTCCACATCTTTTCAAAGCAACAGAATCACCGTCATTCATTTACTTTTCCCAGTTAAACTTGCACAAAGCAAATATTGTCTTGTATTTCAGCTTCGTTTCACAAACGAGTAATTTTGTAAGAGAATCAGAGAACACGGTCGATCAGTTATAAATTATTACATAATTCAATATATTATGAAAATAATTTGGCACCCGTTGCGCACCGGTTCCGTTCAACAAATCTGCGTCACGTTCTGATAGCTAACTTTTCACGAAAATCACCCGAAACCTAATATTAATGACGTTCTTGTTAGCTCTTAAAAATTGGTTGAAGGAACGCGACACTCGCGTGCTGTATACGTAAAAACTTCTAAGATTTCTGACTTACTGGTAGCGTAGCTGCTTCTTAATCCGATCGGTCTCCACAACGTGAAATGCCAGGCAAAGATCGAAGTTCCAGCGACAGAAACCACAGCCGTATTTCTGTTCTCATCGCAATCGCTAATATTTTATTACGTTCATTAAAACCGCGGGGGTCCAATAATTAACTAATGATTTAACACGAGTCGATTACACGAAGGCTAACGAGTCACTGAATCACGCAATGGTAGCAGCTATCCTCCCCCTCACTGATATTGTATTTATTATATTATAAAGAGAGGTCACCGTGAATTTCGACGACGTAAACATAGTTTTTGCAGCAAGAGACGAACTTCCTGACGATTATTGACAAATATACGAATTATCTTGTCTAAATGTTACGAAGAACGAAGAGGGGTAGAACTCGTCGTGTTCGTTGTATTCCGGAGAACTAATAACGTAGCGACGCTCCCGTTCTCTGGCGGTTAGACTTAAAGCTTTATTTCCGTTATTTAAAACTATGCTTAAGAAAATAAGTAACAGAACGAGACAGACTAATATTCTCCAATACTTTCTGAATTCCGTTTCGATAGGACATCTTATCGTTACAAGGAAATAATGCTTATTTTTCTGCTTACAGGTCACTGAATATGTATAGTAAAGAAATACGAAGCGATAGAAAATACTAGGTTTTAGATATGCATACAAAAATTGTACAAAGTGTCTGTGGAATTTAACATCGGATCAATAGTATTCATACGAATACGAGGAGAACGAGCGAGGTAGCACTTGGAACATTAATAAAATCAGTATGCTATTAAAATTGAGTGTGCTCGGCTCTCGCAGAGTCAAGAGGTAGTGAGAGTCGAAATGAAAATGAAAATGAAAACAAATAAAATAGTCGTCTCTCGTAGAAAATTGAACAATAGACGTTGTAATAATAATAATAATAATAATAGTAATGTCGCCGATAGATTGAATACGTTCCCAATTACGATTCTATAATACTCGTTGCTCTTGTGATAAATATTAAAAGGAACTGAGGATGGTGACGTGAACTCGAGAGGGAAGATAGAATTGATGAGGAATCGAGAAGAGTTGAAAATGATGGGAACGAGCCTCGAGGCATTCAACAGCACCAGTTATTACGATGCTGATCAATTATCGGAGAACTTGACGAGCAAAGAGAATCCGATCGAGGAATGCAAACAAGAAATCAATTCGAGCGGTCTCTTTGATTTCGTGATCTACGGCGTACTGATGAACCTGATCGGACTCTTCGGAATATTCGGTAACGCGATCTCGATGATCATTCTCTCTCGGCCGCAGATGAAATCATCGATCAATTACCTACTAATCGGCCTGGCCAGATGCGACACCATGTTAATTATCATTTCGGTAAGTCGATTAGCCCTCGTCCAACGACCCGCTTAAAAGGCTTTTAACCCGGTTCAAAAGAATGCTCGTCGGAAAAGTCTTAAAAAATACATACGAACGTACGGTTGAAAGAGCTCTGGCTAAAGTAGCAGCTTAAATTATAAACGAAAGATAGTATTTCTTTTTTAACGTTCAACCCTTCTATACCGGCCAGACGTTACGTAAAGCGGTTTCATTGCTAAATGAACATCTCGAGGCCAACGTCAAGATCCCCGAGGATCCTTAAGTACTCGGTCTATGACGTTGTTTATACATAGAATGACTAGTAAAAATGTTCAAAGCCCGGAGGTGTTTTTCCTAATCGAATCAAAATAATCTACCTTTTTAATTATTCAACAGTGATTATACAGCGTTGTTTCATTTGTACAAGTAACCGACGGAAAGAGATAAAGTAATCGAGAGAAGATCGTGATATTTTCAGATATTAATTTACGGCTTACCTGCGATTTACGCGTACACTGGCCTGATGTTCAACTACAAGTTCATCGTCTATCCAAAAATAGTCCGATTCTTGTACCCGTTGTCGTGCATGGCGCAAATAGCGACGGTGTACTTGACTCTGACCGTGACGCTGGAAAGGTACATCGCCGTCTGTCATCCCTTGAGGGCCAGATCCTTCTGTACCTGCGGGCGAGCACAATTGGCCGTTCTGATTATCGTCATATTTTCGTTCGTTTACAATCTTCCAAAGTAAGTCTGCTGACAAACATTCGCCAAACGGCACCAGTAATATAAGATCAATGTTTCATCTCACTGTGTGCCAAGTTTCATGTACAGACTGAATCAATAAGAATTGTTACATCCTGTTAAAGTTTCATTTAACTGATTCACTCTGTACATTAAAAAATGCGTACTTTTCTATCATATTTGTCTTATACTATTTTTATAAATATTTAAGGTATAATGTATCTATTTCGTGTGCGTCTGCAGATTCTGGGAGGTAGAATATTACACGGAAATACACTGGAAGTACAACGTCACTGTGTATTGTCTACAGTCAGCGGATTTGAGGGGCAACGAGTTGTACGTCACGCTCTACGTCCATTGGATGTACTTCTTCATCTGCTATCTCTTCCCATTCCTCGCCTTGGTGATCTTCAACGCGACCATTTATCGAAGGGTAAGGAATTCGAAACGCAAGTTTTGTTCTGAGAGCAGCAAAGGGAAAAGTTCTCGGTATCTGTAACAGATGCGAGCGTACTTAAAGTCTTCTTTGTGATTGCGTTCGCTCAGCGAAACAGTGAAAACAAGTATTTCCCAATTGCGCTCTTTCACGAGCTCTGTTCAGCCGCGGTGTACAAATACATTTTATTTCGTTCACGGTTGCAAACTTTTGTAACATTCGAGATACAGAACGCGGTTCGTACGAGTTATTTCTTATGCAATGGCAATTTCCTAAGTGGTCCGTTGCTAGATAAATCTTTGCATAACTTCGTACGATTTCCCATGCCTTGTGATATTCATCTAAGCTTATATCTCCGCGAGAAACGATTTCTCGGGGGTAAACTCTTTCGCTTTGCGCACTAACTTCCATTTTCTATCTCTTTTGCTCCGTAATTCCACTTTCATAACGATGTAGTCTACTGCATCAGGTATTTGAAAAGTCGTCTTGAATCCAAAGGAAATTCGAATGTTAGCATGTCGACATATACATCGTAGATCAACAAGATGAACCATGAATAACTGATTCTTCTTTGATTTCATTAAAAAGTACTTTATACATGAATTACTGTAGATATTTACTTTCGACTTGTTACAAAACTAATAATAGATATGGAATTTTTGTGTTCCAGGTGAGGAAGGCGAACAGAGATCTGCAGCAACTATCCCGTCACCAAAGACGCGAGATTGGTCTGGCGACGATGTTGCTCTGCGTCGTGATCGTCTTCCTGATCTGCAACATCCTGCCGCTTGCCTCGAATATTCACGAGACATTCCTGAGCGAGCCGCCACTCCCATTGGTGCAGATGGGCAACCTCCTCGTCACGATCAACAGCAGTATAAACTTCATCATCTACGTGATCTTCGGTAGGAAATTCAAGAAGATATTCCTGAGGCTGTTCTGCAACCCGAACCTGTTCGGCCCGGGCCGAGACAGCCCGGAATTTCCAACATACGACGAGTCGATCATCACCAACATGACCAACATAGAGTTAAGGAACTCGATCAGGCATTATTGCCTGAACAGATCGAACACCATCAGCAGGAACAATAATTCGGTCTCAAACGGTAGCATGAGACAAAGCATGAAACTGGGCAGGCCGGCCAGCCCGGGACCTTGCGTTTATTATCCCGCGAGGAGCCCCGTGAGAAGCCCGAGCCAGACGTCCAGAACGTCCAGCGCGCAGAACGGGTGGAGCAAAAAAGACATAGATCCCGCGCTGTAGTGAATCACGGATAGTCTGATTCCGATAAATCGCTTGTGGATGACAATGCACAATTGTGCCACGTAGGATAAAATTGAATGTCCTTTAAAACGATCTCCCAAGTCGGGCGCGTACAGAAATCAATAAGAATTGTCATGTAAAACAAACAAATAAAATGTTTGTTAAATTACAATGCGTTCATTCAATAAAATTCGTATTTAATGTCTATTAACGACATCAGACAATTATGACTATTCTTGTTGATTCCTCCTGTATGTATTGTATATTCTGGATAAACTCGAAAGTATGTATAGTATTATGAATATTTGTCTCTTTCAAACGATTAATTTTCCTTAACGAAAAGTATACTAAAGTGTAATTAAATTTACTTTACACTACGATAAACCTCTCCTTTTAACTGTTAAGATTTCAGAAATTGACTCTTCGTCTCTTTCCACCTATCAGACCATACATGTTTCGATGTTTTATTGAAATTTTAAAATGCTATGTATTTTGTCATTTTACAATTGTACAGGTACACATTTAAATATGATATACGAGACATTTTATTATTGGTATAAATGTGAGACTTGTGTACTCTAAGAAATAAGAGGTAATCATTCACAGCTCTGAAGCCATTAAGGAAAATATTAATTATTGGAATATAATAAAGAGATCGATATATAACGAATGATCATCTTTTGTATAAGGATAAAATTAAAATACAGTGTTAAGTAGACAATATGATATTTCTGTAAGAAAACGCCATTGTTATTGCAATGCACGAAATTTTAGAAAAATTGTAAATACCACCAACAAATTATACTATTTTGATATGCTATCGCGCGTAGAATTTCTTTGAATGATGGAATGAATGATGGAGTTGTACGTGTGACTGTTCTTTTAGGGGGAGATACGGAAAGAAAAACGACCAAAAAGATATGAAACTTTCCTATTGTTCCTAGGTTTATGAGAACTGAATTATCGTTTGGAAACGCAGTATTATAAAAGATATCCTTAGCGTTCTTTATATAATAATTGAGTGAATGTAAATAATTTCTGAACTTGAGTAAAATATCTTCCATCTTTCTAAAAGGTAATAAACATGTAAGCGTTCGATACCATCGGCATATCTTACCTTATTATTTAATGATCAATTAACGCCTTTCATGTACGCATAAACTAACAGCGCAAATCTTCGCGTAATATAATAGATTTACATCATAGTATCATATAAAATGAAACGCAAACGTACCTGATGTCATTTACTAATCGTAAGTAGATTCTTTTGTATATAATCGTTTCGCAAAAAAAGAACACGTGCAAACTTCGGCACCGAGTTTTGTTTATGATTTCGAACGAGACCCTCGATATCTCGATAGTTTTGAAGTTTCGAGATAACGAGAGGCTCGACATGTTTCGCAACGAAATTGTGAAATTCGTATAATTATTAATATCAAAATTTCGAATCAAACAGAGGGAAAAGAAGCGCTCTCGTAATTAATACGATAAAAATATACATAACTATGTATAACAGATTCTAGTCAACTTTCGATTAAGCTGTAGCTAAATTCAAAATCTTTCTAAATATAAGTGTACATGCGTGTATATATAAACGTACACATTACAAATGTATGTATAGATAATAAAAAGATGTCATACAAAAAACAAGTGTCGTAATTACTTGCATGCAGTAAATGGCTAAACAGAACTGTTATATGCACAGTATAAGTCCAGAATAAATCGAACATAATCGAAAGACGAAGGGTATTTTTACATTTATATATTTTTATATGTACATCTTATTTAACCACTGGATTAAGTCATAATATCTCATATATGTTCATATATATTATAAATTGAAATAAGCTTATAATTAGTAAAACTGGTGACAGGTCGACATACTTTACTTAACATAAAAGTATATGTAATAAAAACGATGGACCGTTCACCAGTAACGGCCCATGAAAAATGAATTTTCCTTTATTCGTAATGATAATAGGATGATACAGAAATTATTATTACATAATATATCTACTGCATGTCACCTTTGTCTCACTTTGCTTCTTGTTTCTTAGGTTTCGGTTTCAGCCAGAAATATAACCCAGCAATTGCCATACCAGTGAGCGCGGAGACGGCTACCTATAAAAAAGGATACGAAAGATTTACATTTGTTTAAATAGCGACGTGAGTGTAACGTTTGAAATCATTGAGGGACATAACTGCTTTGAGGTTACTTACGTTCATACGGCCGCGATCAGTGACACTGTTCAAATATTTTGAAATTCCAGTTAACTTCGGCTCGTCGCTCGCCATTGTTTGTCAATTTAATATACAAGTTCAAAATGTCACTTGTCGTTTCGACACAATTCGAATCACACCACCTCGTTACAGACTCGATTTTTCCTAAATCCCTTCAACCAAGCTACGAGTGCTACGACTGACACTAGAGGGAACACGCGACATCCGCTGCGGATCAGTGTTGTAAGATTTCAGGAATTTCAATCCTAGCGCCGTCCGTTGAGGAATAATGAAACTCAGGTTTCACTCTTTCGTATCGCATGAGTTGCATGTCCGCGAGCTAGAGGCTTCGTCAACTGGCGGCGCAACGATTACGCTCATGGCTTAAATTTTAAATTACACCTCTCCCGACTCTACTTTTGACAACTATTTCTTTAGAACATGATGAAACAATTCTTCTGCACTCTGTCCATATTATGGAAATTTTATAGCAAAATAATAAAGAATGTACCATGTATCGATGATAGAACGTAGAGAAGTCTTATAAAAATACAAGCAATATATGCCAGAAATATTCAACAAGTAGTGAACAAACGCCCATTACTTAATCAGAATCAATAGCAAAAATCTCGAAATAATAATAGTATAGCAACAGTGGTTATAATAAAATGTACTTACGTGAAGTAATAATAGTAAGCACACCGAGGAGAGTACCTCGGTGTTAAACGCATTTACAACGGTAACAATTACATACGCACAACAGGGCTCGATGAACGACGGTATGTCCGTGTAATAGTAATTACAATTAATATACTTACGTGGAATAATAAATGCATCGTAACCCTCGTAAGTAAGCGTTTACACCGGTAACAATTACACTTGTAACAATTGTATTACTTGCGAACAAGACAGATAAATGCAAATGGCGAACGCGGGACAACTGAACGAGCCAGCATGGCGCTTGCGTGAACGGTACGCGGTCACGTGGGCTGGCGCGCAGAAATTCAAAACTACATTTGATTCTCATTGTAAGTTCCGCTATTTCTCAACACGCGGCGCTATGGTCGAAATTGCTCAAATCTTACAACACTGGTTTGGACGTGGGAGTAGCAGGACGATATCATTTATGTATTTCTACAGTAACACCAGTTACACCATCCTATTCAAAAGCTGACGAACTAACCTGACTTAAAAGCAGCTGAACATTTTGTGATTAACTCTGTCGCTTTAAAGTATATATTTTTGAGAATCCGTTCCCATGTACGTTATAGTGTAATTATTATCACCCGTGAACTGTGTAATATTTTATCTAAAGGAAACAAAGTATCGCCTAAAAAAAAGACATTTTTATTGTTTTCGTTATAGAATATAAGAAAGAAGAGTGAATACTAAGTTGTAACGATAAAAGACGGAAGAATTTGTGATTTATAATACACGACAATGTTTAAACGTAAATTTGACGAGATGGAGAGTGGAGGTGGTATCAGTAAACCACCAGTAAAAAATTCTTTAGATTCAGACGAAGAGGATGATGATGCTAACGAAGATAATTATAATATAATGAGTGATGGTGAAATCGAAGGTATGCACAAGTGTATAGTCCATGTATCGATGATAGAACGTAGAGAAGTCTTATAAAAATACAAGCAATATATGCCAGAAATATTCAACAAGTAGTGAACAAACGCCCATTACTTAATCAGAATCAATAGCAAAAATCTCGAAATAATAATAGTATAGCAACAGTGGTTATAATAAAATGTACTTACGTGAAGTAATAATAGTAAGCACACCGAGGAGAGTACCTCGGTGTTAAACGCATTTACAACGGTAACAATTACATACGCACAACAGGGCTCGATGAACGACGGTATGTCCGTGTAATAGTAATTACAATTAATATACTTACGTGGAATAATAAATGCATCGTAACCCTCGTAAGTAAGCGTTTACACCGGTAACAATTACACTTGTAACAATTGTATTACTTGCGAACAAGACAGATAAATGCAAATGGCGAACGCGGGACAACTGAACGAGCCAGCATGGCGCTTGCGTGAACGGTACGCGGTCACGTGGGCTGGCGCGCAGAAATTCAAAACTACATTTGATTCTCATTGTAAGTTCCGCTATTTCTCAACACGCGGCGCTATGGTCGAAATTGCTCAAATCTTACAACACTGGTTTGGACGTGGGAGTAGCAGGACGATATCATTTATGTATTTCTACAGTAACACCAGTTACACCATCCTATTCAAAAGCTGACGAACTAACCTGACTTAAAAGCAGCTGAACATTTTGTGATTAACTCTGTCGCTTTAAAGTATATATTTTTGAGAATCCGTTCCCATGTACGTTATAGTGTAATTATTATCACCCGTGAACTGTGTAATATTTTATCTAAAGGAAACAAAGTATCGCCTAAAAAAAAGACATTTTTATTGTTTTCGTTATAGAATATAAGAAAGAAGAGTGAATACTAAGTTGTAACGATAAAAGACGGAAGAATTTGTGATTTATAATACACGACAATGTTTAAACGTAAATTTGACGAGATGGAGAGTGGAGGTGGTATCAGTAAACCACCAGTAAAAAATTCTTTAGATTCAGACGAAGAGGATGATGATGCTAACGAAGATAATTATAATATAATGAGTGATGGTGAAATCGAAGGTATGCACAAGTGTATAGAATATTGTTTATTGTGACTCTGAGTATCCTTATTTAATTATTAGGTGCCGAGGATGGGCCGAGTGCTCCAGAAACAAATATTGGTTTTACTGCTTTTAATATGAAAGAAGAATTAGAAGAGGGACACTTTGATAAACAAGGTCATTACCTTTGGAACAAAGAAAAAGAAATTAGAGACAACTGGTTGGACAACATCGATTGGATGCAGGTTCGTAAAATAATTTTTGAGTGTGTGAAAATCGAACTATTAAATCCTCTTGTAATTATACAGAAGAAAACTCAAACAGTTGTACAGTAAAACAAAATATTTCTTGATATGAAACAGGATGTAGACATGTTCCTATGTTTTATAATTGTTCCTTGTTCTTAGACTTTGCATATTGAAATATCAGAATATGTTTTCATACAGCAGACAAATAGAATTATCTGTAAGCCCGCCTCGTTTACTCAGTAATGCAAAACATTACTAAGGCATAATCTTGATAGATCAAACCGAGTTCTACAGCAAGTGTAAAGAAGAAAGGCAAAGACAGTGAAAAACATGGACTGGCAGATAGTGATAGTGAGGATGAAGATCCAGATATTATGTTCGATCCAACACAGCTTTATAAACAGATATTGGAATATTTACAACCTGGGGAGACTGTTTCTAAAGCTCTATGCAGGCTTGGTATGTATTTTCATTCGTATCGCTCTACTTCATAAAATACATTAATTACTATGTATGATTGTTACAGGGAAGGGAAAGAAAAGATTGACTACCGCGGAAAGGTGGAAAAGGAAACAGGCGAAGATACCTGTAGAAGATGAAAACTCTATTAGTATAACAAAATTAACTGAGCTTGCGAATGAATTATTAACTCGTACTGGGAATATGGATATATATCAGGAGAGTTACGAACATATTAAAAAGAAGGTAATTGACAAGTAAAAAAGTGAAAGCATATCTAAGCTCTTAACACGAGATGAAATTTAAATCCGAATTTTTGCAGGTCGAAGAAGGTGAGAAGCATGCTCATCCTTCTAAACAAGAAGCGGAATTAGATATGTATTCCGATGATTTTGATGTGAAAGAAAAGGCAAAACTGGATGGAAGCGAAAGTAACTATTTTAGGATAGTGTTGTGCACTTGTAACTCTTCAATTTTATACGTCATGTTTAATTCGTCTATAGGTAATTCCAAAGAAGAGAGCAATTGTGCGAAGGACGATGATAAAGAAGAGGAAATAATGTGGGAATTAAAATGGTCGCAGAACGAGAACGCGGAAATCCACGGTCCACACACGACCGAGCAGATGCACGTATGGGCGAAAGAAGGATACTTCAAAAGTGGAGCGTGGGTGCGGAGAGCAGGTCAAAATAATCAATTTTACAATGCTGCGCGAATGGATTTCGAACTGTATCTGTGATGTTTCACCTTGATATAGTCATTCAACGAGAGAACTAATATTTTAATTTTTCAATGATGAATTATTAAACTGGAACTTTGATTTCAATGCAACTGGAAATATTGTATAATTCGAGAAAATATAAACTATTAACATAAACACTGTGAACATGTGTATATATAGTTACGTTACAAACTTCAGTGATAAATATTCTGCCACTTTTGAAGCTACAATAATAAATATGAAAATTTGTCTGTATTTAAGTAAAGGCATTGTCAGTATATTACTGGGTAACAATTCATTCCACGTGTTTCTAATATGTATAAAATAACAATTGTTCATACTTGATACATATCTCACGAATAAACGTATTCGCGAAATACATAAATTTTTCTCATGTAAATGTATCTCTTTAATCGGTTCTAAAATTTCAAGACCTGAGCCTCCCGAGGACATTTAATAATGTATCTTCTTTACGTTTTTGTTGCGGCTTCTCTAAAGGCCAGTCGGCTCGTCACTTAAGTCGAGAGAAAAACGAACTTACATTTGAGGAACTTCCTGTGCATACTCAATAAGGAGACGGGGATAGCTCCGAATTTATGGTCCGCCCGGCGTGGTATTTTTAAATAGGATTTTATCCCTAAAGTAAATCTATTTGTACCCCTCATAAAAACCCTGGGCGACCACCCCTGTTTATTCAACAGAGTGCAACTCGATGTCCTTTCGATCCTTGTTCTTAGACGTTCGAAAAAATAAATGCTGAAAAATCCTTCTCACTCCTATTTATTATTTTGAAATCATAATAAGCGAAACGTAAAAGCGCGAACAAGTATCTCAGCATACAATACCTAATACAGACATAGAAACATTTTAAGCACGTTTTAAAGGTCCTTATATCTCCTATCAGGTATGTATATATAAAACATAGGGACGAGGATGGTTTAACACATAGTATACCATTTAAGTACATATACAACGAAAACAGTTAACATAAAAGGGGCTTGTTAAACAGGCACTCTATCTACATATCGAGACAGACAGCACGCGTTTTACTGAATATACAATATAACTTTATTAGATATCTTAAACATTTTTATTAGCAATGTATGAAATTTCTATACGGTTACTTAAAATATTTCGCGTATGTAAGTAAATTGTACATACATATGTACCCGTGAGTATGAGTGTATATACGTACTACTATACTGCAGTAGTAGTATGTATATAATTTGTATTTGTAATTTATGTATATATATATAATTATTAATTATAAATTCGTAGCTCCTACCCGAAGTTTAAAGGAAACCTCGGGGGGGAGTCGTAGAAACGGTACATACATACATAAAACGAGGGTTCATTCTGGTGTCTGATAGCTTCGACGTTCGAAGCCCAATCGAACACCTCTGGTCGACTCGAAATTGAAAGATTCGTACATACGATCGGGACGCGCTTGCAATCAAAATACATGCGCGCGTACATCAATCGATTTCTATAATATGTTATCATTGAGTCACGCGAAAAATAAAATGAACGCGTTTAACTTCAAGTTTCGCCGCTTTTCGCTATACACGCTCGACGTGGAAAAGAGGAAAAAAAGAAAACGAGAAAGAGAGAGATCTCGAGTGAGACGTTATCGTTATCAAATCCTAAGATCTATCGGGTCCGAAGAATAAGTTCGCCGCGTTAGTCTCGCGGAAACGGCCAATTCCGTGCTCAGCGGTTTCTGTCTGGGAAATCCTGCGAATCAGCGAAACAGAAAAATCACCGAGTCGATATACTTGCAAGTTACGTTTCTATATTTAATAAAAAGGCGGAAGAAAGAGATCTAGAGAAAGAGGACGTAAAAGGAGACAACTGAAGCTAGAAGTAAGAGCTAAGCTGGCGGCTGTACATACATACGGAAACTATCATACTAATATTTACAGGAAAAATTCACATAGGTACGTCCGGTGGTTCGTTCGCGATGAAACAAGTTACATTGCTTTTTACCCCTCATTGGTTTTTGCGTTACAGTTACAATAAAGGAAATAGATGAGACGGGGGGATGAATAAGAAAAGGACCGAGAACGGCACAAACAGTGGACGCATTCGTAAGCCGGTTTCATAAACGCACGCAAAATACGCAAATTGATCGTAACGAATGCATACATATGTATGTATGTAGATCGCGAGGTGTATTCGCGACTTTACGAGGCGATCGAGAAAAAAATAAACGGAACGTTCGCCTTTTATATGGTCTTAACTCTAGCCTTAATTAGTCTACGGATTACTATAGTTCCATTAAACGTCAGATACACGAGTACACGCGGCTTAGTTGGCGAGTGTCCCGGTGTTTGAGAAGAAGCTGCCCAAACAGAAATTCTGAACGGGAAATTGTTGTAATCGCGATAAACTGCTTTCGCGTTGGTGTCACCGTGTAATAAGTTAGCATTAGCTCGTCAGAGTTACAGATTTCGCGTTATGCGAATCGATTACTTATCCGGACTTTATGTTCGCAGAGGAACGAGGCAATCTACAAAAATTTATTCCTTTTTAAGGCTGTGAATTAGAAGTATTAATTATTTAATCAGGAAAAAAATGTCCTTGAATTCTTTAATTCCGAATAAATATTATTGTGATATTTCTGATGAAGCATTCAATTAAAAGAGGAAGTTATTAATTTTCCGTATCGGAGATTTTTCTCAAACACGGTGAGAAATCCCGTTCTCCTGTGACACTTTTCATTAACCGCATTAGCATCGGTGAAGACTCGAGTGAACGGAGGACCAACACTCGAATGATCGATCGGGGACGTACCCAGTCAACCATCTTCATCGCGACAGACGCTGTCGTGTCGATTTACGATCATCCGGAGCTGCATATTCCGAGAATCATGGAAATCGTTTTAATAATAATGTATTTTCTCGTATCGTTGTTATGAAACCGGCGGAGATACTATCGTAGATAGACAGACAGACAGACAGACAGACAGACAGACAGACGGACAGACAGACAAACATAGAAATAGAGTCGGGAACAACGAACAGCAAAAAAATAGAAAAAGAAAGATACAACGAATACTAAAGACGGACGTTTACACGCCTGAGGAACGTGATGTGCATTAGACGTTGCGCAGCTCTTGTCACTATATACATACAAAAATAGCCGTCGATGGGGCGCATCTCGAAACGCATCGAAATCCCCGGTGACACGAAAACCGGAAGGGAGAGAAAAAAAGAAAAGAAAACGAGAAGGGAAGAAGAAAGGATCGACCGCGAGGAACGGGAAAGAGGAAGCGGACCAAAGGAGGAAGCCGCTTTCGTCTTTCTCGCGCGAGATTCACCGTTCGAGCGGCCACCCTTCTCTTTTCAATCTTCCTCTTCTCTTCTGCCGTTTGTACGGGCGAGATCCATGTAGCATGACTAACTACCATGACTAACGAGTCGGGCGAAGTGCCACCGTGGAATCTTGGCTAACCGACCGGGAAGGTGGGCCCAATGAAACGCTTCCAACTCTAATATTTTGCCCTGTCAGAAGGTGGTCCGATGGCTCGCCTTTTTCCTTCTCCCGTTCGTACTTTTCATTTTTCATTCCCTCTTTTTTTTCTAATTGGCCTTTAATCTAGGTTTCCTTCTACCGAGGCCTTCCTCCTGTCAGCTCCTCGAGCTTTATATCCCCTGCCCTGGTTCCTTTCTGTCTCCGAACGCTCGCTTAATCCAACTAAGATCAATCCGGGAGCACCGTGCGTGAAACGGTGCTAGATTCTCTATTATACACGGTATGATCGTTCTGAGCGTAGTGGAATTTGTATTTAAATGATTAAATGTTCACACACCGAGATGGTTTCGTTTAAAAAAATATATACAAATATAAATCCTTTGAAATTGATGCAGCGACGCGTTGAACGTTTCACGTGCACGCGTCTAAACCGATCCGCCGTAGGAAAAGTTTTATTCCACGATTTGCTCGGATCTATAGGCCACAAACTTCGAAACATCGCGGTGCCATAAACTGGATTTCGCATTCGTATCAGAAAAGTCTCCGACAGCCTCCAGGTTCCGTTTTATCGACGTCGATCGGCGGAAAATGAAATGGGAATTGAAAAATCGCCGCGTAATCAGATCCTCCTCGATCGTTGCTAGCAAGTTCGCCAGTCTGGCCGTGACAACCGGATCGCGAACTTCTCTCTGTCAAAACTTTGAAAGTTCCCCGGGTGATGGACGATCGTAGAGCGGGGCTCGGCGGTCTGTAAACGAGAGCCGCGGTTTCTGGGTCAGTAGAACCGTTTTCTAGTTCTACCTCGCTGTTTCCACTCACGGTTGACACGCCGTCCGACTCGTTCTAAATCAGATGGAAATTCCGTTTAACGTTAAATCTGATAGCCCGAAGAGACACGATAGAATTAATTTTTTATAATTATTCAGCGGCCAGTCGAATGATACGCGTATCGATTGAATTGATTTTGATCGATTTCACCATCCGTGTTCTTCTTACAGGTGGCAGGAATATTTAATTCCGATTCTTTGTGTCGACTGCTGGACGACGTGGTCGATCGTGGCTTAAATTAAGCGGTCGCGCGGGATGGTAGTTGTTCAAATTCGAACGCCACGGGCTAGCGCCGGGTGCAAATTCTATTTCGACCCCTTTCCGGGACCGCGTTTCGGCCATTTGTACATCTTTGAAATTGCGGACCGGTTGGTTATACAAAGTCACGCTTTGAGGGGAGAACTTCAATGGAACACGGTTATTATTTACTGTTGGCATTTTGCTTTTCGGTTTCGCTATCCCGCCGTTCGAGCTTCTGTTTCACGGTTTAAACGATCCGAACTTCCGTCGCGCCATTCGCGCCGAGAATTTAACCCGCGGGCGGCGATAAAAATTATTCACACTACGAATAGCCGAAAGCGAATGGAAAGAAGAGTTCAAAGGGAATACGAGGTACCGTTACACGTTGTCCATTAAAGTATTGTTTGAAAGTATCTACCTTCCACTTTTTAAGGTCGTATAGCCACGGCGAGATATTTTAATTAGAATTTTTCATTCCCCGCAATTTCACGGCTCGTTTAATCGAGGAAACAAGAGAAGATGAGGGAATTGTTCGAACCAATCAGACGTAACGTTTTGAAGGAACGGGTACCATCTTTCATTCTGACCTTATTCCGTCAATCGTGAGTTATTATTCCGACAAGTACTCGCGATGGAATTACTATATTCCTCAAATCCTATGGCGATCCGAGGTTTTTCACCGAGCGAGCGTACGGGCAGAGGTTTACCGTGGCGGATTGAATATTTAACTTTCGAACTTTCCGCCGGAGGAGCCATCCCGTTGAGAGACTTTAATCAGCAGGAATTCGATATTCCATTAAATTTCTAGACGCGTTGCGTTTCGAGAACGAGCGCACCGACGGCGAAACGTACGCGAGCTATACGGATCGTCGTAACAGCGTATTCGCGTGCAATCATTCCCGCTATCACGTGTACAGTATACGCTGTGCGTACATATCCGTCCGTAACTTATCGAATACTCGACGAACGCATTAAATAATAATTGGAGATTCCACACAGGCTCCAGCTGAAAACCATTTTTACCCGAGAATAAATACTCGAACACTTCGTAGATAATTTTATAATTATTTTTAGAAAGAAGTCATTTTTATAGGATGGAGACAGATATTGACTGTACGCGGAGGAAATCCAAGTTGCATTAAAATAGTCTCGGAAAATGTTGGGTAGGCGGTGTCTTTAATAATTCATCTGATTTAGAAACCACGCGGGGTTCAATAATTCATGAACGGAGGTGTACACACTGGCACGCGAATTCGAAAGCTCGATTATCTTCGTGATGATTACGAACGCATTGTTCTTACTGATGCATCAAGTATATTTTCATCTCGTATTCAAAACGTAACATCATTTTTTTCCAAACTTAACATCATAAATTAATAAATAAATATATGTATATGTATATATATATATATATATATTATTTATAGGTATGTATATCATTATACGCTCAAGTCTGTATAAACGTGTAATTCTCGTTCTCTAAATATATCATGTACCTCGGTGTCGTAGTGTGCCCCTAACGGTAAAGGTCGCGTCTATTATTGCTTCGATTTACAATCTTCACCTGAAAATGGTCCTCTTCACTCGACTTCGGAACGGGCTCAAAGCGGAAAGGAAAAAGGAACCGTCCGGTTTGCGAATTACAAACAACGTTTGTGTTTTACTTTGCTCCCATCGGTGTGCACGTGCACGCCATGTGTGGCTGCGTGTGTGCACCGTACATACGTGTACGTATTAATTGCCACGTATTTGTATTGCTTTGCACGCGATTATAAAGACAGAGAAAGAGACAGAGAAACAGATACAGCTAGTTTCCCGGTTGAGTTAAATCCTTGTGCTTGAGGTAGCCGACTGTCTCGCAAAAGTCCTGTCAAGGTTCCTCGGCATCGAACACCTACGAATGCAAATCGAAAAAGAGGAGATGGCACGGTGAACGTAGTGAATAGTCAGTAAGGTTGACGGCGGAGGACGGAAAGAGCGGGACAGGGGACAGTCAGAGGGACAGAGCGAACGCGAGTGAGAGAGGAAGAGAAGTCTCGGGACGCTATAGTCTAGAAGGGTTTAAACGGACTAACCAGACGCTGCTTTGATTTGATTTGTCACTACGTTTAAATGCGAAATGAACGCCCGCCTCGGAACACGGCGCGCAGCATTTACACTGAACCAACGGAATCCGACGCAATCCGTGAAAATAAATACGTTCCCGTGTGCCGTGCCGGGGCGAGAAGGGGGCCTCGCAACCCACGCCCCGCGCCACCGGTTGTACTACAACGCGGTGGCCGCGTTTATGTGCCCGTACAATTTACATTCCGAGTCAGATTGCGTTCCCCCAGCGAAAATGCATTCAGCTGTTCTCCAGCGGCGCGACTATCTCTCGGAAGACATCTCATTTTCAACTCGTCCACCATGAGTCCCGACCGTAGCTCGGGTAGCCCGGCTGTCCCGGTTCTGGACGATCCTCCAGATTCCGTGATAGCATAGTTGCCGAGCCATCCCGGCGGATCTGATCCGATCCGCAAGTATCCGCGTGTTAAACTTTATCCGGTCTCGCATCGCCGCTCTCGGCCCACCCCGTATGGAGACCGGGATCGATACTTTCGGTGACAGAAGGATTACCGTATCGCGGTCGATCTCGGCCAATCAGTTAGAATAGATCCCCGGCCCTATTAAAGGCATCGTCCCTCGAACGGCTGGTCTCGTGACTCGCGACGCCGATAGATTTAACGCGCGAAACTGCGGAATTTCTTTCGTAATCCCCGAACGTGACCGGAGCTACCGCACGCTACGGGGTAATCCGTTTCCCCTGCGAATCTTCCCCGCGTAAAGGAGCTCTCTGAACGGAGCTTAGCGGCTCGTTTCGCCCGAGTTACGGCGGTTTTGCGGGTTCGCGTCGTACGACTTTTCATTAGCTTCCGGAGTAGCCTCCGGAGGCACGAACGTCCGCACCTCCGTGCTCGTAAGACGGCCAGCTCCGTTCCGCTCAGACGAACACGACGTGTGGCTTCTGTGGCAGCGGGGGCTCGTAATCGTAATCGTACTCGTAGTCGTAACCGTAGTCCACCCGGTGAGCGTTTGATCTCGGAACCGCGGGGCTCTGCATGCGATAAAGCGAGAGTACTTCCGGCGGCTCGTCCCGAAGATCGGTCACGTCGGCCACCGCGTAGACACCCTCTTCCGTCTGCTGCGCGTACGACGACTCGGTCTCGTGACGACTGTTGTTCGGCTTCGCGTACTTCGGCGTCTCGTAAATGTTCGCGTCTTGGGATTGTGGGCTCCGCTGACCGGGGGTCTTGCCGCGCGGAGTGTCGTACGGAGTCTCCTCGTTCCTCGTCAGCAACCGTCTGCTGTACGACTCTCCGTTCTTATCCAGTTCGTCGTTGTTCCTGCCCACGTAAACGAGAAACTCGGGTCGATTCGGCGCCGCGTATGGCGCACGCTTCTTCCTCTTGGAACGCGTCAAATGTGCTATCAGCACCAGAATAGTCGCGGTTGCGGCCAGGCAACCGGCCGCTGACAACGAGAGATAAAGCGGGCTCAACCGACAACGCAAAGAACCCTCCGATAGAGCGATCAGTGCTTTGCCGGCGAACTCCTCGTCGGTGCAGATGATATCGCGGGTGTCCAGCTCGAGCCTCGACTCGTTCCGTCGCTCTTCCGCTCTGATAACGTTCCACAGCCAGTGCACCGAGCAGTTGCATACCAGAGGATTGCCGCCAACGCGAAGCAACGACAGACCGTCCACTGGGAATTGCGTGGGCTGCAGCGTCGACAGGCTGCACCGGCGAAGCGAGACCCATTTCAGGTATCTGGCGCCGAACAGGACCCTCGCCGGAAGCTCCTTCAAGCCACGATTGCCGTCCAGCGAAATCCGTTCCAAGTTCACGTTGTCGGCGAACGCGCGCGCGTGCACGCTCTCGATCGCGCAGTCGTTCAGTTCCAAGCTCCTCAACTCGAACAGATTGCGAAACCCGGCAGCTTTTAAACTACCCAGAGGATTTCTGTCGAGGGTCAGATGCGAGAGTACGTTGAGCCTGGCCAACGCGGCCGTGGGCACTGAGGTCAAGTTGTTCCCGGACAGGTCCAACCGGAGTATGTCCGGTAGGCGGTCGAACGCGTCGTCAGCGATATTCCTGATAACGTTGTTCGCCAGATTTAACGAGACTAACGAGGGCAGCGATGGCAACGAGCTTCTGTCCAGCTCCTGTATGAGATTGTCCGACAGGTCCACGTTCTCCAAACTGGGCGCCAACGCCAAATTGTCGGTCGGTATCTCCAGCAGCGAGTTCCTGTTCAAAATCAACGTTCGTATTTTATGCAAGTTCCTCAGCAGTCCCTCCGGTAAACTCGTGAGCGAGTTGTCGCTGAGGTTCAAGATTTCCAAATCGCTGGTACTCTTGAACGCCTGCTCGTCCATGTCGGAGATGTTATTGCTGGCCAAGTTCAATTCCTTCAACGAGTCCAGACCCTGGAGCGAATTCTTCGCCAACGCCCTCACGGCGTTATTGCTCACGTTCAGCGTGGCCAGATTCTTTTGGAAGACGAAATTGTCCGAGCCCAACGTGTGGATCGCGTTCGACGTTAGATCGAGCGACTCCAGGTTACCGTAGAACCCGAACGAAAGGTGAATATTGGCGACGCGATTGTTGGAAAGGTCCAAGTGTCTGATCTCCGGGTTCAATTGGATCGGCACGACCTCGAGGCCTGCGTAAGCGCAGGAAGCGCGCAAGCTCTCGTCGTCGCAACGGCATTGCGTCGGGCAGAGACCGTTCGCCAGCACTGACATCGCGACGGCAATCGCTATCGCGATTGGCAGCGTCGTCGTCGCCGAGGGTCCACGCGATGCCATTCCATATGAGCTCCTCCTCAACTGGAACTGCCCTGCAACAGCATAACCATGCGCATATTACATATCATATTGGAAACTATCTTTTTTAAATGGGAATTTCTGCTTCCCTCTTATTGAGATATTCTTAAAACAAAGTATACGATCCTGAAATTTCAGTACTTTGTCACTTTCTAACGACCATTAAAATTTTATTACTTTCCCGGCAGAATCTCGTTCATTATTTAACGGTGTTTCTTAACGGGCTATGAATTTCAATATCCCTTAAACTTCGACGAAAATATCACGCTCGATCACCGTTCAACGTTTCAGTAATTCTAAACAGAATCTCACTTCTCGTTCTTTTCGACGGTATTTCTTAAAATGTAAAATTCGTCGGACAGAATATATTTTGGAGTGTCTGGGTGAATGGATTCAATTAATCCGTTGATTAAGAGTGTTGGAGCAACGTGAGGTTGTTAGCAATAGAAGGAAAAGATTCGCTTCGAAATGTCTCGGGCTCAATCAAGCACCAACACGTTTGCGTGTAATTGGAACGAGTGTTTTGCCGAGCTTGCTATTGTCTGCTGGCAGGTACAGAGACGTAAAACTCGCCTGAACTTGTAATCATGGTAGACGTCGTAAATTCGAAGCGAGTCATTATTTTCCTTTTATGGGAGATGGGAGGAGGCAACACTGTTCGGCGAATTTCCCAACCGACGATTTCCATCTGATTTCCTTAGTCAGTCGACTAATTAATGAGACATCAAGGAATAATAAATGTTATACGAAACCCTTTCGAGAAATATGTGAAGAGATCGTTTAATAAGGAATAAGACAGATTTCAATACGTTTCATGCTAAACGTTCAATGTTTCATTAATTCTTAATAGAACCTCACTTGTTCTTTTCGATGGTATTTCAGAAATACTATTTCTTAAAATGTAAAGTTAATAGGTATATTCGTTGCATAGCTAATTGGATACAGCCATTAACTCTAATAGATGCACTATTAATGAAATGAAATTCTCAGCAACGAAAATAAATTTTGCAGAAAATTTTAGCTACAGCTGAATGTTAATTTAAAATGCATAGCAGTCATTCGACGCACCTGCTGCAACTTACTCGAAAGCAAGAATGATAGTTTTTAACTGCTGAACACAATTCCGAAACGAGTTTCACACGTGTTACAGCTTGTAGAACGCTGAACCCTATCTTCAATGGCTATTTCGAAGAACGTGTTACGACGCAAGTTAAATAAATCTCTTGTAAATCTTGACGGAACGCGATGGAACGGACTGAGATAATTAATATTTTTAGTGGACCCTTCGCGAAACCCATCCAGATTTCCTACTCAGTACCATTCAGATTATCACCATAGATTGTCTTTTCGTTCGTTATTCCGAGTTTCACGGTACACGAAAGGAAACTACACCTACTCCTCGGAAGGTGATGAGACTGTACCGAGCTCGCTTCATTTCCTCGAGATTACGGTTCACAAATTACGGGGTTAAGTTCTCGGAAAAGTAATAGAAATCTTAGCTACGTGCGAAAACGTAAACCCGGTTGAATGCACTGTAATAAAACGGCGACGTAACGTGCCGAAGGTAAATGGGATAGAGACAGGGGCAAAGGCAGTATCTTAATATTGATTATATCATCAGCAAATCAATATCATCGCATGCACGTTTATCTATAGAGTTATTAATTTACAATAATATACTAAATATACGCTCGCCCCTCTTTGGGAGTTTCTCACTTTGAAAGTTATCCAATGTATTCGTTCTCTGGTAATGAAATGATCGGTAATTAAAACAACAAAATAACGCAGACCCGATAATTAAACTGCAATCAATTGAATGGAGGAGAGAAGAGAAGAGGCGGCGAGTAACCATACAACTCGCGAGCAACGTGCTCTCCATTTTATTTATTCCGAGCACGTCGAGCATCCTCAATATGCTAAACATCAAATCATTTTTTTTTTTTCCCCCTCACTGAACGATCGAATCGCGGCTATTGGAAACAGTCCACGTAGAAACTGGCTGGCCTGTCTTCCTTTATAAAGTGAATCGAACAACATGTCATTGGTCCAATGCCAGAAGGCCGACCTACCATACGTAGTACTACACCTATGGAACCACGGAGGGCCACGGAGCTCGACCCTAAGTCCGCGAAAGTTTCGAGTTACGCGAGCACTCAACTTTCTATACTGTTTTATAGCGTGGCCGTTTCCCTACACGTCTCGAATAAAGACGTTTCCCGCGATCGCTTATGTTTCAACCGCAGTCCGTTAACTCCTGTTTCACTCTCGACACCGGCCACCGCTTTAATATTGAATAGAAGCCTATAGCCTTTAACAGTCGGGCATAAGTCGTACTTAAAATAACTTTCTTCGTCTGTTTGTCGCGTACGAACACCCTATCGCTGTTCGAAAGCTCGAAACGCGCTATAATTTCTTCAAACAGAAGAATAAATGCCCTCGAGTAAACGAAAGTTCAGTATAAAAATACTTGGTGTCATGAGTCTGAATACATTATCAGGATATAAAGGGTCGATTTCGTTTATCATAAATTAAATATCAGTTTTTAATTGAACGTCGCTCGGTGAAAACTAGAGATGTCAGCTGTTTCGATCCGCGCATTGATCGTTATAATTATGTAAACGATATTCTCCGCCGGTAGGAGCGGAGGAAGGGTCCGGGGTTAAACAGTCTCGCGAAATAAAAATCTCGTGGGTCCACGGGACGAAGCTTTGTGGCAGGCGAGCAAACCGCGAAAGCGTAACCACCCTTCACGTTCCAACGGTTCGCCGCAACAAACTCGATGCAAGCGAGTTTATTTACGGACACCTGCACGTTCAATTCGTGTTCAGATTTTCCCTTGTCCGTCCCGTCGCGCCGTGCCGCGCCGATGCATCCGACTACCGTGCACTATAACACCATAGTTCACGTGTTTGTAGGTAACGGTTATAGGTGCAGGCGTTCCCGTACGCTCGCGCTACCGCGTGTTTATGGAATGGCAACCATTCTCTGTGTCAACTTTTTCCCCAGGCTTACCCGGAGTAAATAACATTAGTCCCCGGTGGGTGGGAACGGCGCGAAACGAACAATGATAAGCGAAGAATAGTTTCAAAAGCGAATCGCGTGCGCCTGGTTGCAGCGGCGCGGAGCCACGGCCCGGCTCGAAAATTAACAAGCCGATAAAAACTTTATTCGACCGGTCGTTTTTATTATCTCGCACGGTTGCGAGCGGACGCTTGTACGCGCCGGGGAAACAGCTGGAAAGTTGCTTGTTCGAGTGTGCATCATCGAGAATAACCGGGAAATAGCTGTACGCGAAATCTCCTCCAATATCCTCGTGGAATCGACCGATATTTTCCTATATTTTTTTTCATTTAAAGTAGCTTTTCGAACGCTTTTCGGTTTCATCGACGGTGCGCGATACTTAAGCGGTTGAATGAAAGAGGGGCACCGAGTGGCGAGGGAATTGAAACCGGTAGAGCTCCGACGCGATGTGCTCCGAGTTTGAACTTTGAAACTTGTCGATGTAAGTTCGACATTGGAAAATAATGACAGACCTCTGGGACGTTTAATCGAATCAATGAAGAACTTTAAACGGAGCCGTTTGCACAAGAGTCATTGTATCAGCAGTAGATCGACATAGACCTTTTAACGTCAAACATGTAAACTATAATTTTCTGGAATACGTTGAGGAAACATTGCGCCAAGCATACATATAATAATTCTCGTCGAGCACACATCGACACCCACATAATGCGACCACTTAAATGCCATTCAGACGAGCCAAAGAAATCTATTCAGACGCAGACCTAGATTCACGAAACGATCAGCCCCTTCGCTCCGACCCATTGAATAAATAAAAGAAAAACTACTCCCGCAAATCCAGCCACCGCTATTCGAACGCACACACCATTCGACGATAGCGGCAGCTCGTAATGGTCGTGGACAAAAGGAATCGCGTTTCACAAAAGGGCCGTTTCGGAGGCAACTCGGTCACACAGGGATCACCGCAGCTCGTAGCCCGGTCCGCGTAGCTCGGGACGCAACATTAACGCGTGCCCCGTCGCCGGTAATTTCAATCCCAGTAACTAGTCTCCTGGCAAGTGTTCCAGCATAACCGGATGCCCGACCGAAAAAGGCTCGTTTCGGTAAGTGCTGGTCGTGCCAGTAATTTTTCACGTCCCTTTTTCTCTGCCCTCCGCTCCTCCCCTCTCCGGCGTCGCGGAATAACAAATGGCGCTGATCTCGCTGTCATGTATAATGTACAGATTTACAGCATTCCGCTATCTGACAGAGCTATATGTCCCTCGTTCTCCCTGCGTCTCTGTGTCTCTCCCAGGACCTCGCAGCGAACGCACGGCGAATGGAAACGAAAAAAAAAAAATGAAATACACGGGCGGACGTTAACATCCGCAGCATGTAATATCCCGTGTGGCAGGTCGAGCGTTATTTTCTCCGGGAAATCGGTCGATGCTGTTTTTTTTCCGCCCGGTTTTTTCTCGTTACCCGACTCCCCCCGCTATTGGGTCGTGGCTGGACCAGACAGCGGATTTTACCGATCGTATAGCCGCCAAGCTGTAGGAAGAAGAAGACGACGACGACGACGACGACGACGAAGTCGTGAGGACGAGGGTGAAACGGTGGGTCCCCGCGAAGCTAGGATCAAGGGGAGCGTGATTACTTCGAAATTCGGGCTTTCTGGCCATCGCTATAAGTGACATCAGCCTGATAAACAACACTTGTCTACGAGCAGAGAACGATAAGGGTGAAGGGCTGGCTGTATTAGCCCGGAACGATCCCGGTTACCGGGGGGGAAAATATTTGTGTTGGATGCTTCCGTGAAATTAGGTCCGTATTACATGGCTTTCAACGGGTAGATGCCAGTCTTCTTATCGCGCTTTATTGCTCCCCTTTGATTAGTTTACTTCGACTGTTGCTCTACGAGCTATCTCTCAACGAGCGCGTACGAAATGTTACGATTCTGTTTTCCTTTTTCATGGAAATTTTATTAACAGAAGCAGCTCTGATAAAAGATGAA